AAGGAGGCTACGTTAATATTTCTAACTTTTTTAATGGAATTTGCTGATGGTTTCAAGCTGCATTAAAAATGTAGTTCGATTTTAGCATAAAAGCCATAAAGCGAACCCACTTGGTTCTCTGGAAGAGTTAGATTGGATCCTATGAAATGTTGTCGATGAAAAAGGATGCAGTAATTCTTGATAATGAAGTGTTATCAATAAACACATCTTCCGGATATGACCGTCGTTGTAACGCTTTTTTCTGCTCATTGACTGTGAATGCATTTCCCAGTACACATCTCAATACACTGTTTGCGACTTCATAGTTGTGCTCCATTACCGCAAAAAAAACGTAACGCATGTATCACCTCAGCTTCACAACACTCTGCCAAAAGTATTCTATGAAATTATAAAATCAGAGTATTGCACTATAACAAATTAGTGATCCACTGGTTATCAGTCTTGATTCAATTCAGCCTAGCCATGTCGTTTCTGGACTTGCTACAGGGGTATTTGAAGGCAATATCGACCTCGATCGAGCAGCTGTTCTGGAACTTCTTTCTCAGTCAGCCTTTCGAATTCTCCGTCAAGCCACGGGAGCAGTTAACAACACACCAATTTAATGAGTAAAAGAAAACCACAAAAAGTTTTTACATACAATAATATAGATCACTAATTTTCATAACATGATCATTGCACAATGTTTAAAAGGAATGATGTCGAAATATCGCTGATCATCCGTTTGGTGCTGGTGGTGACCTCAAGAAAATTGAACGAACCCAAATCGTTGCTTTGGTAAAGCAGTTAAGATTTCGGCTGAAAATGTGTTCATGAGAAACGAAGAACAAAATTATTTAATGATTAACAAACATATTCGGAATCAATTCAAGACTGCATTAAAAGCTACATCGTCTCACAGTCATCATCGAAAACTGAAGGAGTTACCAGTTCGATAGATGGAATTAAATAAAATACACTTTTGTAAAACTCTCGAGGAGTATTTGTAGCAGTGTAAGAAGTACTCTTGCTGAATGTTCTTCAAATCAAAGCCAAATATTTCCAACCGAACAACTCAGCTCAATGTCATGTCTCAACTAGCAAATCAGAAATCAACAATTGTTTCGGACATTTTAATATCATTTAACATGAACTTTTTACCGCATCAGTAGACTTCATAAGCTGCAAATCTTCCATGGGTTGTCTTGAGCGTAACATATAGTATCCACCATGCGGCGGATAATATCCATACCTTCCATAATCGTCATAGTAAGGTGGATAATAGCTATCATAAGGAATCCCAAAACCTCTACCATACAAATTGCCCCCGTGATACGGATAGCCATAATCATACCCACCACACGAACCACATGGACTGTAGAACTGTGCGCTCACATTTGAAGCGATGAACACGACGAGGAAAGCAAGAAGGCTGAAGACGAATTTTTTATTGAACTCCTCTTGCACAATTTTTTCCATACTCCATTGAACGTTTTTGACGGTTTTCGCGACATGAGGTTTTGATTTTAGAAGTCTGTGTTGTTCAGTTTTCTGACAGGAAACTTTGCTCACTGAGAGATCACTTTTATCGAACAACAATCAATTCACAAGCTTGGAGCATGATCGCATTTTAGTTTGATATCAAAATAGGATGAAACTAACGTCAAGAAAAGCATTGATGAAACGAGTTGAGAAGTAGAATCGGTGCAGATGCTTTGTCAGAGTACAGTCGCTTAATAAATTCTGCTCTCGTGACGATGGTGCTTAAATACGATTTGAACTTGCAAATGCGAGAGTATTATCATCACATTGGAACAGTAAAAAAACCGGTCATTCGTTTGCAAGATGCATATTGATAAGTGTGTTTTTGTCATATAACAATTCATCCATAAATACTAACAATACAAACAATATAAAAGCGTTTTTGTTCGAGTTATTGTTATTTTCTTTAAAAATGGTGAGCAAAAAACGCACTGCTGAAATCTGATGAAATTTAGAGCTATTTATGTTTCATAAGATA